CAATTCATGTCAGTATTTTTCGGCAATGATAAAAAAAATCATACTTCCGTTATAAAAGTCCTTAAAATGAAATATTTTATATATTCAAATAAAAGGCTTTGCTTAGCTGTCAGAGAAACTTATTTGATTCTGGAGCAGATGTAGGTATGAACTCTTTCCCTTACTTATAACTGTATAACTAGACATAATGTTATATACAAAATGCATGTAATGATTGGATTGAAAAAATGTGATTTGAAATAGATATTATATTATACATAATACAATTTCAATCTTTGTTATATATGTAAATCTTATAAATTGTCATAAAGTATCTTTAAAAAAATTCGAATATATGAAAAAGAAAAAATAAACAATGTCGGAAATGAAAATAAAAATGTTGGATTCCGAAAAAATAACAAACACTGTTGGAAAATGCAATGCAAGACTCAGGAAATGCAGAGATTTAGTAGATATAATATAAAGCCTTTGAATAGGTAATTAAGTCGCAGTGTTAACTTATAAAAGCACAGGGGACATTGTACTTAAGGTTTTCTCAAACAAGACAATTATAGGCTACCCCCAACTGTACAATCAACAGGCATGTTATTTTTACAATAAGGGGTTTAGGGTAGTACACCGTGACATAAGTCCCTGTCACAGTGTCCCTCCAGTTATAGACAATAATATTAAAAGTAAAGAATGACGATTTTGTTTATTAATACTTTAATGAGAAATATTTTTAAAAAGATGTTATCTATTTTGCGAGTGGAAGATAGACGTTTATCAATCTTACTGGAAAGAGAGTGTAACTTAATGATCCGTGTTGGACTTACGAACAATCATCTGTTCATTGTATACTGATTAATCTGCCAGGAAACAGGCGGTGAAGGTAAATGTATGTACATTTGTATTCTTAAATATTCTTTTAAATGAAAATGTTGACGTTGTTGTCCCGACAGGTAACTCGTTCAACAAATTTATTGCAGCCCAAAGGACCGGGCTGCTCTATAGATATAAGTTTAAATGTTGGTGTATGGGGATTGGGGTTCGAGTAGCTATTAAGAATTAAAGGTTTTTCCAAACATTGGCAAGATTGTACATCAGAATGTTCTTTCCTTTTATAAATCACGAGATGCATAATATATTTACTTCCATAAAATGAATATGTCAAAACATATATGCTTTTCTTAATATATAAAGCTATTTATCGCTTACTATTGAAAAAGCGACAACTCCCCTTTTTTAGAACATCGAATTTTACTTCTCGCATAAAAACGTACTCTGTACAGTTCGTGTTTTATATTCTAAAATTGAAAATTAAATACATTTTTGCATATAGACTAAGACAATGCATATGTCGAAACTCAATTTATATTTTATGCAGCCAACATTTACTCGAGGAATTGAAGTTTAAAATGGTGTCGTTTTTGTTATATATATCCGACTGTAAGTTTTCAAAATATTCGCGACTATCGTCTCCATCAATTAGATGCATGCCTTTTCACACATATATCGAAGCGGTTTGATGATCAATACTCATTTCCATCGTTTACTTTATATATTTCCTAGGCGAGAATTGATGGTTACATCAATGTTTTCTTTTAAAAAAATTGTACATTCCTTTCTTTATGTATTAATTTCTTACCTATTGTTTATTATATTCTCTTGGATGAAACACTAGCTATTAATACGACTTTATATCCTTAATTAATTTTAAAACAGTAGTTTTTCAATGAATATCGAATGAACACAGGCATACAATTTGTATAATAGGCCGAGGGCGGACCTTTTCTTATAGAGCCATCGATAGAGTTATCGTATTAGGTCCGGCCGGACCTTTAAACGAGGCGGACCAAATATTATGCGACACCGGTCAGCAGGGAATGCTCACTCCTCCATGGCACCAGATCCCACCTCTGATGTTTCGGAGGTCCGTGTTAATCTGCTCCTATTTTGTATTGTTTAATGGATTTATTTATGGATTTATTTTCTCCGTGAATGAGTCTACACTGCTCTGTTTTTTTGCAAATATCAAAACAAAATGTTTGTTGTAAATGAGCATTTATTGTAATGCCTACCAAATAAACCAAATATGTACAAAAGCTACATATGACCATATTTGAATATATCCTTTATAAGAATATAAAAATAACCCTGGCCCACTCGTAATATAAATTCAATAAATGGAATTTCATTTAATTTACAATAAGAGTAATCATCGAAGAAAAAGACATACCCAGTATTCGTTTAACATAAAGTATATACAGTGAAATAAAATAACCAACACACAATGTATTAATAAAAAATCAAGTTAGGAAATATAATAAATTATGATATGTAATGAAAATTAACTGCGATCATGATTTCTACACCAAAAAACACATACATTTTAAATGAGGGTGATCAAAAAGTTTGCAAACTATCTCTTTATCTACAAAACCACAATTCAGATTAGATTGAAATTCGGTACACACATAGCCATACACAAGGTCTATAAATAGCATATGCTGAATAAAGTTTTTCTCTTTGTTTGTGACGTCACAATTTGAAAATGACGTCACTATGTAGGTCACTTGTGTCGAAAAATGGTTGTCTCAGTCGAACTCGTTTTACAAACGACTGTACAATTTATTGTATATCTTAGATATCCCTCTGCAGTATCATAATTATAATAATTTGTACACAGTTTACTAAGATAAATTAGTTCCTTAAATTCAATTAATGATTGGATTGATCGTTTCAGTGAAGGAAGGCAGATGGTTAAAAATGATACTTGTCATTTTGCCCAATGAAAGCAATTATCAAATACCTAAGATACCGTTTACTTTTGATTTTAAACATATTAGATATGATAAAAAGAAGGCTATTATTCTCTATCCACCTTGAATAAAAAAACTCTCCCGAGACGCAAGATTTGTGTTTTAAAGTCGCTATGCTTATTTTTGGAAATGATATTCTTAACCACCCATTCTGTTGCCGAGATTTGACCATTTCTGACAAATAAACTGTTCTCGTCATAAAAATTATCTCACATGGAAAGAAATATAAGACTCAGTAAAATCTTTCAACTTTTGTGAAAGAACGCTACACATAGGGCCACGTGACTGCCAATATCACGTGGTTCGCGCATGCGCAAATCGGTGGTTGCTGTGCATTAAAATCGGAGAGGATTAATTTAAAATATAATCAACATTGAAACCAAATATTGTTTCTTTCATGGAAGTTATTCAATTAGTTTGCGAACTTTTTGATCACCCCTCGTAATGACTTATTGTTTTTATATTTCACACAAAATAAATCTAAATTCCAAACACTAATTTTCATGAAGATTAATGCATTCGATTCAAATGGAAAAATGATTTAAAGTAAGAAGCAGGGCTTAAGTTTTCAGAAATAAATTTTATATCTGATCATGATCAAAAGAAAACAAAAAAGAAACAGTAAATAGAAATAACAATTATACATTATCACAGCATTAAATTCAAACAAAAAATTAGGTATAGATCTATAATGAAGAAACATTTGTTGTCATACAAAATAATACTAGAAAATGTAATGAATTAGTGCTTGAAAGACAGGATTTCAAACGGTTATACGTATTTTAAAAAATATGTCAATGATCAAGATTTATGTTTTCTTCTTACTTTCCTTTTCATCAGATATTGGTAATGAAAATATAATTATTATATGGTACATAAGGAACTAGTACTCTTTTGAAAAAAAAGATAAAAAGCTCCTAATTTAAAACAGGTTAAATGTTTCATATAAAATGCTTTGAATATAGACTATTTTTTGGTAAAAGAATTAATGAGTCAATGTGTGAATCATTAAAATAAGGAAAACAATAGGAATAATTATAAAGGAGAAAAACTCCCCGTGTTGCAAGAAATGAATAGGCGATGGTCAAAATGAACAGAAAATAAAGAAAAGTTCCTGTTTGATATCTTTTTAAAAGTTATTTCTTTTATTTCAGATCATCACGCCCTAAAAATCATCACTTTATAGTCAAAATAATAGGAAACTGTTCCCTTACACATAATATTGAGTTAGGAAAACGTTATCAGGATTCTGCCTTTAAATTGAACTTACGACCATATTCAAAACTATCTTTAGCAAATCATTTTCTTCTTTATCTGCAAAAGATTTTGTAATCTAGTTTATAAGAATTTGATAAGATATTTTTAGAAAGCAATTCAAATAAAAAAAGAAAAGATATAAATCAAGATATTAAATACTGATAACATTGTTTACATTATCCGTAGATTCTTTTGTAAAACTTTGATCAGAAGTACACACTTCATAAAATGAAAGTAGAAAAAAAAAACTAGACATATTTTCATAGGACATGTGTATATTAATAATGCAACATGGGAACCCGTATTGTATTCATAAGCAACTGATTAAGTCTGAAGGATACCGTATATCCTAATGAGGGGGGGGGGGGGGAGGGGGGTACATCAGGCGGATCATCAAGGAATATCATTTACTTTGGTGAAAATAACTGTGATGAATCCTATTCCATCTATTTGGAATGCTTTACTATTTCAATCATGATATAATATACATTTGATTAACAATATTGTTTGATGAAAATGCTCAAGTATATAAAGATGACGATGTTTAAATCAATCATTACAAAGTTCACGCATATCCCCTACCAAACTAAATACTCATACATATAATACAAAAATACATTTACAGTTTTAATGTTACCCAACCAAGGATCCAATGAAGCGCTTTTTTGCATGATATTTTGAACGTTATTTGACACATGTCATACAATTGCTGTTCAAAGGATTTGTTCATATCACCATTCAACTTTGAGGAAAAGTCTTTACAAATATTTCTCATAATTGCAGTCAAGAGTAATATTTATAAATGTAGGCTGATAACACTATTTTTCATAAACAACTGAATCATATCAATGTCTCCAATTTCATAGGCCGCCTCAATAACTGAATTACCATCGCTATCTTTGATACTCAACAAATGTGGAAATTTATTAACTAGGTACTTACAAACTTCATACTTTCCATTTCTGCTGGCAGTATGAAGAATACTTTGACCATCATTGGAAATTGCATTGATATCCAGACCTTTTCTGATTAGATACTTAACTATTTCTACATTTCCACCAAAACAAGCCGAGTGTAACACTGTCATTCCGTCATTGTCTCTGGTCGCCAGTAAATCGGAATAGTAATCGATTATATCCTCCCAATGGGCTGTTCTGCCAAAGCAACACACTTGATGTAAAATTGTTTCTCCTTTATTTTCGATGGATTCAATTTTCATCCCCTTATCAATTATCAATTGTTTAATTTTTTCATTACCACTCAGGACTGCATAATATAATGTAGAGTTATCGAATTTGTCCTTGACATCTAATAATTCTGGATATTTTTCTAGTAAGTAATAACAAACTTCAAGTTTCCCCCAGAGACAAGCAAAATGAAGGATATTCAGACCATCATTTGACAATGCATAAATATCCAATCCTTTCTTGATTAGAAAAGAAATTATTTCTAAATTTCCCCCAAAGGAAGCTGAATGTAAGACACTGAGTCCTTTATTGTCTCTAACATGTAACAAATCTGGATACATGTTAACTAGAAACATACACATTTCCTCTCTACCCCCGTTACAACATACATGTAACACATTCGCTCCTTTATGTGTTGTTAAAGTAATATCCAAGCTTTTACTTAAAAAATATTGAAAAAGGTGTACATTACCACTCAGTGCAACACAATGGAGGACATTTGCCCCAGTAATGTCTTGATCATTCAGTAACTTAGGGTATCTACTCACTAGGTACTTACACATATCGAACTGACCATTTCTACATGCAACATGGAGGATAGATTGGCCAATTTTATCTTTTGTATATATATTAGGCTTCATGCCGCTCTTGATGGATATTAAATTTTCATTCTCAAAAAGGCTCAATATATATTCAAACATATCAATTTTTCCACTGAACGCTGCCATATGAAATAAACTTCCACCATGAAGATCTATATGAGATTCAATTAATGCAGGATACTTCCCAATAAGATATTTCACCATATCTAGTCTTCCATTTTGACATGCACAAGTAAGAATGGTGTGGCTGCTTTCTTGATCTTTTTCATATGGATTAAGTTCAAACTTTAAAAGCAGATTAAATGCATGCTTGTCTCCAGAACCAGCCACAGAATGCAATACACTGGCCCCTTGACTGTTTTTCATACCTACAAGAAAGGGATATTTTGCCGATATTTTTTCAATGAATTGCGTTTGTCGCATTAAACAGATTTCCTGAAGTAAACTATGCCTGACGTCACTCCATACAGGATTTAATGTTAAGCCAATTTGATGAAGATCAATAAGCTCGCACATTCGAAGCAACAGTTCTAAATTACCACTTTGCACTGCGTAAAAACACGTTTTCAGATCACATTCTGCACCAGAAGCTAAAATGAGATTAACAACATCTGGATGGTTTTTTGAGCATGCAACGTTAAGTGATCTATATCTTTGTCTTTCATCTGAATTTAGCAGCAGATATTCAACCCATCGTCTATTTCCTGCTCTTGAAAAATGTACTATCATGGAATCTCTGTTGATATCCTGACATGTTTTCAATAGTGAGGTACATTGTTCTGTTTCCAGAACATGCTCATGGAATTTTGAATCATTCCATAATTCTAGCAAAGATATTGACCTAAACCCGGCCACAGATCTTTCGGTAATTACGTTTGCAATACGACAAATAACATCATCAAATAATCCCTGTTCTATAATAATTTTTGTGCCGTTTGGTTTTAAAGTTGTTGTAAATATCTGTAGTAAAGAATGATGGCAATTTTGTATCATTTTTTTAGGATCGGAATAAAACAGGAAATTAAATAGAGTTTCCTGCACAGAACTATGGGAAAACTGCAGAGAATTTCTAATTGAGTCTCGAATTGTCAAAAATCCATCAAAGCAGTTAATACTCTTTTGAAAATCATTTATAAAAGATGTTTTAAGACCAATAAAATCTAAAGAGTCGTGTTTTTTCTCTGAATCCATTTGACGATTGTCGGAAAAATCAAAGTCAACTTCCCCTCCACTAAGGAGAATATACACGAGAACCGCAGTTTTTGCAGTCGGATTCTCGAAAAGATTGTAGAAGTAACTTCTTAAAAAAATAACAGGATTTTTTGCTAAAGATAAAATATCTTCTTGAATATCCATGTGCTTTGCTAATTTACAACATTGAGGAAATCCTAAAGGTAAAGACATTTCAGAAACTTTTCTGGTAAAGTCTTTCTCTTCCATGTTCTTACATACATCATACTTAATGGCTAATTGGAGGATCTCATTCTCTTGCAAAGCATATGTCTTACTGGAGAGGTCAACCACTGATGACACAAAAAAAGTATCATCGTTCCCCTTACTAGTATACTCCTTCAATATATCACTTCTTATTGTAAGTATCAAATAGTTTGACTTATCTGTATCAGTATCAAACAATTCTTTTGTCGTCTCAGATGTTCTTGTAAAGTCTTGAACATCATCACTGGATAAAGAAAATTCTCCGAACACATTATCCATAAAAACCACTATATTATCATTGGGTGCTAAGCTTTTGTATAAGTCTTTAAACTTGTCGAGTTGAAGAGGGTCCTTTCCCTCCTCCATCAACTGTTTTATCAAAAAATTAGCCATTGTGGATTTTCCAGTGCCAGGATTACCCCCGATGACGACATACCCATTGATGCCTAGTAGTTCCCTTGCTTTTTCAAACGCTCGAGTTCTTACAAATAGGGGGCTGATATCTTCACAATGCGTCGTTATACTTTTTTTTATTATTTCTAAAAGTGGAAAGAGATACGTTTAATATGTTTTTAAAATAGACAAGAATCACTAAATTGTTTTCACTTATCATTTCTGTATTTGTTTGATTTTTTATTTACCAGATTTTCCATCCACTGAAATTATTATCTTTTTTCTTATGCTATAATGCTAGTGAAATGGAAATTATGATGTATTACTTAAAGTGTACACAAATCAGTAATTTTAAGGATATTATGCTATCCATGTAAGATATATTTGCAACCTTTGTTTGATTTGTAGAATGCAGAACACCCATTTATGAAATTTTGCCTGTGTTATTCGCTCAATGAAATTCTGAAAATTAAAATACCTAAATAATATCATATGACCTAAACATTTTAAATCTGACATACCAATCCTTTCTGAAACTGTGGGATCTACAAGAAAAGAAATTAAGACCCATAAATCAACATTAAAACTGACCTGTAAGTAAGGCTACGGATACACACATGCACACATCCTCTCTCTTACACATACACACACCCCCTCCCTCACATACACACACACACAACCTATGTTTCAGGAAATCCCAATCCCTAACAATACTCTCGAGTGTTGAACATTTTCTACTTACGAAACGTGCTGGTGTTATACGATATTTTTCTCTTTCTTTATTGAAATGTTGATGTTTTATTCTTTGTAGCATATTGTTTATATTTTATCGTTTCATAATTGTTATTTGTATTTATTTTATATATACATTTATATGTGTTATAAAGAAGGCCTCGGGGAAGAATTGTGCTTGCACCAATATGGTTAAACCTATAAATAAAGTATTATTATTAAATTCCGTAATATATTTATGCCACAATGTGGGTAAGAAACCAGGATATATATGTTAGACACAAGGACATTTTAAAAATATTTATTTCCGATTTTGAGATAAGAAATTTTTATACTACCTTAAAAACTATATGACAGTATATTTAATTTTTATCCGAAAGTCTTTTCTTTAAAAAGCGACTGTGAATAACATAATACTATTACATTTTGTCATCTAAACTAATAGGAACTGAAAAATATGTCTCTATATCTTACTATATTAGTGTCTGTTTGTGACGAAAGAACATTCAACACTTTTTACTTTTCCCGAATATTCATAATTAAGTTCTAACTTACAGGCGTGTGTTAACCAGAATGTAAAACAAACTTACTTCGAAAGGACCGCATTTGCATTTGATCTGCAAATAAATAAATAAATATATATATATATATATATATATATATATATATATATATATATATATATATATATATATATATATATATATATATATATATATATATATATATATATATATATATTTCATCACAACATGTATTGGTAACGATCCTCTAAAAACTAATGTCTAAATAACTGTATCTCACTTCCATTCTCAATGACCGTGTAGTGTAGGGCAGCGTTGTGAGAATTCCATCGGCATCGAAAGCAAGTTTTTTAACTTGCCTAGATAGCGGAGCGGTCTAACGCGCTGCTGATCCTGTACTGCTAGGAGAAAGATTCCGTAGGTCGAGAGTTCAACCCCGGGCTGGGGCGGAAGTGAGTATCCTTGAAAAAAGTGAATTTCTCTGTGCTTTCTCTCTCTCTCTCTCTCTCTCTCTCTCTCTCTCTCTCTCTCTCTCTATATATATATATATATATATATATATATATACCTAAAATATTTCATGAAAGGTCATCAAGTAATTACATGTGAACTCTCTACTAACTTGAAATACAATTGACGGTTCTATGGAGTTCCTTCATATCTCCAAGTAAATCTATATATTTTTTCTCCTGTACTGGGTCCATTGGGCAGGTTTTTATCGTGTTGACAGCATCCTGGTACACCGTGGATGTACCTAGGTGTCGCTCTAGCTCCACCACAATGTCCCGGATATTTCGCCATTCCTGTGCAAAGTCTGAGTCGGATAGGGACAGATCAGCTGCGTGACCGTAGTATTGGTTTCTGAGAAGGCGAATTCTTTCAATGTTGGCTGCAACACTTCTGTCTCCGGGATCAGGAATCTTTCCCCAGCCTTTTGAATGTGGTGCTATTTTATAATTACTTACATTGCGTAGAAGTAAATACAATAAAGATATGTCTAAGTCAGAATAATCACCACTGTATTTTTTTGTTGGTTTTGGGAAAAATATCTCTAACTGTGTTTTATCAAGCTGAGTACGCTTTCCTTGTTTTTGTAAATTGTCTATATATTCTTTAACTTTTCTTGACAAATCAGATGGTTTCACTTCTGTCTTTAAAATATCACGTAACACATCAGTACACGGACCTAGTAAGAGTCTCGCCAGTCGAGCTGTATTTGTTGTTTCTGGTGTAGAGGTATAGCACTTTGATAAAGACATACTGTGTTTTACTCCGTTTTAAAAAGAACTTTTTGTGACATCAAGATATGAATGCAACCTAAAAACAGAAATTGTAAAATAATTTTACAAAGTCATCAATAACTCCCTAACAATATTTTTAGAGGACTATACTTAAAGTAATTCTAAACACACATATTATTGTGAAATGTTTTATCAGGGACGAATCGCCACTTTAGGAATCGAATTGCCAGTCCTTTTATGACGTTATTACCCTAACACTATTTTTTAAAATTTGAATTCACTTAAATTTTACGTTGCGGGTTCGAATCCCACTGGGGGACATGGAGACCGGTCCTGCGGATGAGACCATATAAACCAAGGCCCCGTGTCGCAGTTGGTGCTGGCACGAATAAGATCCCTCACTGCTCAAAGGCCCTGAGTGCCTAGCATAGGACAAAATTTGTAGCTCTCTACCGGCAAGTGGTGGCACCTCCATATGAGTGAAAAATTCTCGAGAGGGACGTTAAACAACAAACAATCAATCAATGTAACTTGTTGTCAAATAGATATTAACGCAGACATTTTAATTTTTGTTGAGTAAATCTTTTAGACAAATTGGTTCAACAAGTACCGCCATATACTGTGTTAAGAAGGTGCACACGTTCGAGAGCGATGCAAGGTATTAAAGGAATGAATTAAAAAGTTATTCAAGTGACTCTGAATAAACTGGGTTTTGCATGTCACGCTTTATAAACTGAGCCGTCAAAAAAGATGAGTAATCTGCTCCAACCCCTGTTATACCAGTAGAACTTGGGTAGCTTTTCATTCATTCCTTATGATTTAAGTATTCAATTGAATCATATGGTAAAGAAAGTAATAAGATGCAGTCAAATTGATCATGTTTTAATGTAAGTCGCGGGATTTCACCCTTTAAAATTTTTCCCGAAAACATATCCTGAAAATTAAATATATGAAGTGTGAATTCTGTGTAGTGATCTCTGTTCTGCTACCCTAAATCCAGTCAACACTTCATCAAAGTGATTAATAATTTGGAAGCGAAAAAAATAACACTCTGAATTGTGTGGCTTTCCTCATCTGTTTCAAGGAATATACGAGGGTTGTTCGAAAAGGTCGTAGACAAGTGCACTAAAATTGAAACCGCTTAAGATACACCAATAAATTTTTAACATTTAATTAGCATAATTTTTATTTATTTATATGATAATTTACTGAAAGGAAAAAGAAACGCTTAAGAACATCAAATGCAAAAAAAATTGACTTCATGAAAATTGTTCAGATGTGTATTTTGATTATTGTGCACTAAATCGCTGGTCAGAACTACTCAACCATATAGTGCCACGTAGGGAAAGTGATAAAAAGCCAAAACCATTTACATAATGATGATGAACATTTTGAGATCACATTTGACAAACGATGGATTAGAGTTCTACACATCGTTTTCGCATATTTGTAGTCAGTTTTTTCGGCAATCATGATATGGCTGACGGAAGTTACATTAGGTCTAGTAATAGAATTGCACAATTGAATAAAAATGCAACAACATGTTGCCGTGCAGATTGCTTTTAACTTTCAACCAAAAAGGCTTTTCGGTCAGCAGAGAGTAACTTATAAGGTTTCCAACCAACCATGACGGCGACTTTGGCGCGTTACAACGTCTATGACACATCAAATTCACCAAAATTAGCTAAACCTACTTTCACAATTGATAAAGTAGGTTTATCGACTGTAAATTATAGTATTCAATTCGTTAACTATAGTATTCATCGTAAAAACTATATTTAACGGTATAGTGTACGAATTTTAATCTAAATTTTTCTGTCTGTAATAACGTTAACATTAGATTTTGTTGATAAATATAGATTCACGTCTGTAAACTATAAATCACGATCGTTAAATACAGTTATGAGTTGTAAACCATAGATTACAAATCGTGAAACTGTATTTATCAGATAATCTGTGTTTTGCGATCGCAAAATTCATTTTTGTAAATTTGACGTGCCATAAACGTAACACTAAGGTAAGACATTTTATCATACCACCTCAGTCATCGTCAAGGAATTATCACTGAAACTGACACTTGTTTTGAAAATGCTTTATTCGAGTGCGTCATGCACAGTATAGGCACATAGACACACTATATGCATACATAGATATAGTGAAAGCTAAAAAAAAACCCAGAAAAGAATCATCAGATTACAGCCCTAAAATGATGGACAATAATTATCTCGACATTATGAATGATGACATATGGCTCGTAAAAGTTCACATGTGTGAAGTACAAGTTTGACAATTATGTAGTAAAATATGGACATATTTTACTATGTAAGAATATCGCCTACCTTAAAGTAAGTATACAACTAAGGTGTCGACGGTAAACCAAATTCTACATGGTGAATACCGTACAGGTACAACAAGCAAGTCAAGGAATAGGCATCTTCCCAAGTCAAGAGTTTCTGATCCGCTCCGCTCCACATAAACCCTTGACCGAATAGGCTAAGTTTGACGTGGTTAGAAATGCGTTCTCTGATTGGCCTCATGAAAGTCTTCATGAACCAATCAAAATCATTGTTTTATTTGAACTTAAACTAAATTGTAAACAGAAAATCAAGCCAGTTTTAGTCCCAAGGATAACGTCATTATCATTAAATAGTTAAAGGTTTGACTCAGATTTTTAGTTGAATTATATCGAATTTATTACAAACTTCCAATATTATCTCGAATTCTCTGTTGAATTCGTATACCCCGATTGGCCAATAGCAGAGGTCAGTAGAGTTCAAAATGTATATGTCTCACTAGATGGCGTGACAGTAAACCCCGTCAAACTTAGCTTATTCGGTCAAGGGTTTATGTGGAGCGGAGCGGATCAGAAACTCTTGACTTGGGAAGATGGGAATAGGTAACACACACACGTGGTGACTGGTTTGAGGACTGGACTGGACTGACTAGGTAAGCGTGCTGGCCAGCACGGGTGGATGGCTATACATATTTATATACACAATCTCACCTACATTCCTCCCGGTTTTATTTAATAAAGATAGGTACAATTACTGTAATTAAATAAGAGGAATGTAAACCAGAAATAAGTATTATCTAAATGGCATGGTAAACGTATTAATTAATTCATGTATCCACATGAACTTGGCCGGAATTACATCTAGCACTTTAGTTCTGCAGGATAAACATGTTTGTATGTGGCAAGATTGAATACAGTATGTTGATATACGAATTATGATTATCCGCATACAACTTCCACATTGGATAAAATGATCATGTTTAGCCATACGCAATCCATGTTGTATGTTATACATTTCCTATGTTTAACACTGAATTTATAACCAAAAGGAATATAACTTACCTATGACCTAACACTGACCTACTTCCATGGGAGTCCTGTAACTGAATGGTTTCATGACTTATGGTTTTAGTCAAGTGAGATTCAGTTGTACCAGTATATAACTTAATCGTGTGTACAACTGATTTACCTAATTGAATTGTGCAAGAGTGCAGTAATATATGTTAGAACTTTACAACAATCAAATATTTTAACTCAACTGCTGTGATGTATATTACTGCTAATTAGCTAATATGATTATGTTTTAATGTATGTCGTCACCTTAAACATGTCAATGCCTAGTACTTTAAAACTTATATTAACTTAAGCCTAACCTAAACTAAGTAGTTAGTATATTGTATATTTTCTTACTACCTATCCTGATAACTGAATTAACTGTAGAAGGTACATATCCTTAATTGTCGACTTAAGATAGGAGAAGCTATGAAATATAACTATTAAACGTATATACAAAACATATTCCGCATCAGTAGCGTCACTTTCTAAAATTAGTTAGCCGGGTAAGATACGGAAAATGTAATATAACTATATACATACTATGTAAAGCAATCCGCCCAATACCGTCACTGAGAAAGGTCAGTCAAGTATCTATTCGGAAAGCATAAGGTTATTAAGGTCTTCCGTCTCCAACGGAAGACCTTGTTGTTTTCGTTCGGTTTCTTTTTCCCTATTAAGGTCTTCCGTCTCCAACGGAAGACCTTATTGTTTTCGTTCGGTTTCTTTTTCCCTATTATTAAGGTCTTCCGTCTTCAGCGGAAGACCTTTCTGTTATTCTTAGGTTTCTTTTCCACAGTTTTTATTATTTTTTTTCTTACATATTTTGTGCACGCGAGTTCTCGAAAACGGCTTAATCAATTTTCATGAAACTTTCAGGATTGATAGAAGATCAAAAAATCTAGGTTTACATTTTTTTGTTTTGATGACGTCACTTCCGGTTTGGAGATTTCTGCGATTTTGTCATTTATAGAGGGTCACTTTGTCCGGCAATGTTCTCAAAAACCATTTAAGATAGAAGTGTGAAATTTTCAGGGATGCTAGAGCAACCTTTGGAGAAGTGCCTTTTGTATATCACAACTACCGGAAGTACGAGGCGCCGACGCTCGCTATGGCCCGAAAATAGACCTATCAAGAATTTCAAAATTTTTAACACCTTTTCTACGATAACTTTTTACCTAGAAATATTTTGTTAAGACATGTAGAACAAAAGGAGTGTAGAATTACAAGTTCTTTCAACTGGTATATCCAAAAAAGGGCTGGCCCCTAAAATGAGGGGCCTATAGGGGCCGAGCGAGTTTCCTTTATATCTCAAAAAGTATTGAGAATTTGTAATACGTCAAAGAAGCAAAGTTGTTCAAAATGTCAAGATTAATCTTTTGGCGTCGTCAAAATACGTCCGCCGTCGTCACTTCCGGCCAAACCGGAAGTAGTCTTTAAACGCGTATTTTTGCCGTTCTTGACACGATTTTGGATAAGATATGTATCTAGGAGCATAAAAATTAATTTTCCGCCCGTCGACGTCACTTCCGGTCAAACCGGAAGTAGCAAAAAATAGCTTATTTTGTAGGTTTTGATGCAAAATTGAAATTATAATGTCACTGTAGACGACTTATCACATTGCTTTCTGGTGTTGAAGTCACTTCCGGTCAAAACCGGAAGGAAGACCTAC